CAGCTTCCCCAGGTGTGGCCGATCGGCAGTCTCGGCGCGTCGGGTCGCCGTGGAGGGCGCCTCGTCTCTGAGGCGCTCTTCCTCCACCTCGGCTTCCTTCAGGGTGCCCTCGAGCTCTCCAGAGCTCGCAGATGCGCTCTAGAGCCCAGCAGAGGGTTCGCTGTTCCTCCTCCTCCTCCTCCTCCTCCTCCTCCTCCTCCTCCTCCTCCTCCTCCTCCTCCCTCCTCGCTCCTCCTCCTCCCTCCTCCGCCTCCATGTTCTTTTCCTCCTCCCCCTCCTCCTTGTCCTCCCTTCTACTCCTGCTTCCTTGTCCGCCTCCTTCTCCTGCTGTTCTCCTTCTTTCCCTCCTCTCCCCGGTCCCGTCGCCTCGCCTCCGAGGTGCTCAGAGTGAACGGGAACGGCACCTGGGACCTGGACTGCAAGCCGAATGTGCGGCAGGACAAGATCAGGAGACATTGTGCACTGGGCATCCTGCTCTTTCTGCTCATTCGGAGGCAGAGGGAGGGGAACGAAGAGCGACGAGTATGTATGTATATCTTTAGATATGCACGCACATCGTAGATCGCTCGCTCTTGATATCCAGCTACCTGCGGCAAGACCCGCCACCGTTCTAGTCCAGCATTCTGGGTGGCGACTGGTCGAGGGGGCACAGGCGTCCGTCACGTGTGACACCTTGTGTCTCCAGGCTTAGGAGTGCTCTGATGAGGATGATTAGGATTGTGAGGACGATGGGAGTGATGACGACGCTACGGCGATGGTGCTGATGGTGATGGTGATGGTGATGATGGTAATGATTATGGTAATGATGATGCTGCTGATGATGATGATGGTGGTGATGGTGATGATGATCATGCTGGGGGGAATAATGCTTATGATGATGACGATGGTGATGATGATGACGACGATGGCGTTGATGATGATGATGATGTTGATGGTAATAGTGATGCTGATGATGTTGATGATGGTGGCGATGGTGATGGCGATGGTGCCGAGGATGAGGATGAGAATGGTGATCAGGATGTTAACTTGGATGGTGATGAGGATGGTGATGATGATGTTGATGGCGATGCTGATGCGGATGAGAAAGATGCCAGTGTTGATGATGATGCTGTCGATGATGATTCTGATACGATGATTACGATTATGAGTGCAATTATGATCATGACTGTGAAGTGTTTATGAATATGTTTACTACGATTGTGATGATGATGCTAATGATGATGATAGTGATGAGGATGCTGATGATGGTGGTGGTGGTGGTGCCGATGCTGAGGATGTTTTTTTTTTTGTTTTATGATGCAGCAGCTGATGATGATGATGATGATGATGATGATGACTGTGAGCATGGTGATGATGATGGTGGTGAGGATGGTGATGACGATGCTGATGTGGATGAGAAGGATTACAGTGATGATGCGGCTGATGATGCTGATGCTGAGCCTGATTATGAGTGTAAGTTTGTGTTGGTTCTGAGTTTGCTTACTACGAGTATGCTGACGATGGTAAGGATGGTGATAGTGATGAGGATGCTGATGATGCTGCTGATGATGCTGATGATGATGATGATGATCGTGGTGGTGGTGGTGGTGCTGATGATGATGCAGATCATGCTGCTACTGATGGTGATGAGGATGATGTTGATTACGATACGGATTGTGCTGCTGATGGTGATGGCGCTGTTGATGGTGATGCTGATGTCGCTGATGATGATGATGATGCTGATGCTGCTGCTCTGATGATGATGCTGCTGCCGATGATGATGAATATAATGCTGATGCTGATGCTGATGGTGATGATGATGCTGATGATGATGATGATGAAGATGATGATGATGATGATGATGATGATAAGGATGAGGATGAGGACGAGGATGAGGATGAAGATGATGCGGATGATCATGATGAAACTCGTTTGTACTGCATTGGGGCCCTCTTGGCTGGTCGTATGGCGGCTGTCTGGGGGCCGTCTTGGCGCCGTCTTGGGCCGTCGAAGGTCTTTCCAAGGCCGTCTTGGGTCCCACGGGAGGCCCTCTTGGGCCGTCGTGGAGCCGTCTTGGATGCCTCTTGGGCCATCGTGGAGTCCTGGTGGGCCGTCTTGAGCTGACGGCAGTCCGAAACGGCGAGAAGGCGAAACTCATTCAAAAACAACATGTAGAAATCAATGATTGCGGCTTCTTCGGGCCCTTTTGGAGGTCCTGTTGTAGCAATGTGTGGCCCCATCCTGGGCCGTATTCGGCCGCCTAGGGCCGTCTTCGAGGCATCTTGGGCCATCTTGGTGTCCTTAGTTGCCTGCACGGGCCATCGTGGAAGCTTGGGACGACCATCTATCGTGTTTAACGAGGGATGGTGGCTTGGGAGGCCCTGGAACACTTGGGAGCAGCGCCTCCGAATGCGGGAAGTGCACGATCCTCAAGCGGGTGCGCGTGGGATAAGGGGTCTAGGAGTCAGCAGCCATGCGGGAAGTGCACCATCCTCGAGCGGTCGCGTATGGAAGGAGGGTTCAGACATTAGCTGCCACGCGGGAAGTGCACCATCCTCAAGCGGGCACGCGTGGAAGTGGGGTTCAGGCATCAGCTGTCATGCGGGAAGTGCACCATCCTCGAGCGGGCATGCGTGGGATGGGGGTGTAGGTATTAGCTGCCATGCTGGAAGTGCACCGTCCTCGAGCGGGCACAGTGCTTGTACTTAGGGGTTCTTAGTTCTCTCCTAAGGAACTGGCCGGGATGTCGGTCTGGCGGCTCCGTGCTTGCCGTCGCCGCCCCATCGCCGCCTCGTCGCCGCCCGTCGTCTGGGCCTGAGTTTTGATCTGGCGGCTCCGTGCTCGTCATCGTCGCCCCGTCGCCGCCTCGCCGCCGCCCGTCGTCTGGGCCTGAGTGGCTGTCTGGCGGCTCCGTGCTCTCCGTCGCCGCAGTCGCCGCCGCCTCTCGTCTGGGCGTGAGTGGCGGTCTGGCGGCTCCGTGCTCGCCGTCGCCGCCCCGTCGCCGCAATCGCGGCCCCGCCGCCGCCTCGCATATATTTCTTAAAACAAGATTGGGGTTCTACCAACCCCCACCCCCTGGGGTTATCGGTTCACCCTAGTGATGTGAGGTTTATAGATGATGAAGCCCGATCGTGCATTCTGAATCTGAACTTATACCATCCCAGCCCTGCTGATATCGACCCCTCCTCCCCCCATCTTCGCCAAATGGTGCTATGCGTGTGCACTCGTTTATCAAATATCGCCAAGTTATAAAACCTCTTTACAACTTGTCCGACGAAGTGCACACGCGCGCGATGGCGCCTGCGCATGCCATAATCCTTGGAACTATTTGTGGTTTCGTACGGATGTTCAAAATTGATGTCCCGCTGCACATGCATATATCCATATATTATGAGTTATAGAACTGCATGTGTATATATGTAACCACATGGTTTTCCAACATGCTGGTTCAAAGAAAAATTGCGCGCGCGAGCGGTTAGTCACTATGCTCATCACTACGACCAAGATAAGACCTCTCGCGCGCGCATGACGAAATCGTTCAAGCGCCCTGGGGAGCACGATCCCTGCCAACGCATACCAGGCGGGCCACTCGCGCGCGTCGGCCGCGCGCTCATGTCGAACTCTTTCTGAAACCTTCATCCCCGACACCTGGGCACCATCATCGCCATCGGCGTGATCAGCATGGGTGCCGTCTTTCGCCTTGCGATCGCTGCAGTTATCATCGTGTCTGCCGTTGTCGACGTCGCCATGATACCGCGCCCACCCGAGTCACCGACTCGCAATGAATTGCCCGCGCGTCAGCGCGGCTTGTGGGACGCGCTGGGAAGTCCCCCGGTGTCAGCGCAGACGCGGCTGCGTCAGCCGCGCCAGAAAAGGTGGCCGACCTGCGCGCGAGCCAGCGCGCGCTGTCGCGGCCGAAGAGATCCACCAGCCAACACCAGGCAGGCATAAACCAGGTTGCGGGTGGGTGGGTGGGGCGATTGCGCGAGCAGTGGAGTTGACACCTCACTACTGAGCATGGGTTAGTTTCACCAGGTAGATTGCGCCACGTGACTTGCACCGCAAAGATTGCCCCACGCGGATGGCACCACACCGATTGTGCAATAGACCGCACCACGCATATTGCACCATTGAAATTGCACAACATTGGTCGCCGCGATCGCCCACATAAGCTATCTGTTCAACAAATAGATTCCCCCATAGAATTGTCGGACCCCCTTTTCGTATGGCAATTTGCAGGTGATTCTGCCGCATCGTCCATCCAAAATTTGAACGCATACCATTCGAGCCTAACCGGTACCGACCCCTTCATTTGTCCACATTACAAAAAACTACGCGCGCACTATTTACCACAAATCATACGTTGTCTCAAATCCTTTACAACAGATGAGACGAAGTGCACACGCGCGCGTCGTCGCGCGCATGCCGAAATCCTTCAACAACAATGGGTTGCGTAGGGGGTTCAAAATCGAGTGTCCAAACAACATGTAAAGCACATGGTGGGCAGCGCTCTCACACGTTCTTAAGGCAACCAGCGGCTTTTCAATATTAAACATGCTACCAAGCGGGCTTCGCGCACGCGCGCATGTCGAGATCATTCGAACACCCTTGCGCGCGTGCTGTCGCGAGAATCCTTTGCAACAGACGAGACGAAGTGCATGCGCGCGCGCCGTCGCGCGCGCATGACGAAATCCTTCAAGAACCATCGGTTTCGTAAGGGTTTCAACATCGATTGTCCAGACAGCATATAAAACATACGTGGCTTCGCAACAACAGTTTTCAAAGGACGGCGCTTGCCATACGTTGCTGAACGTGTTCATTGATGTCTGCCAAAGGAGCCACTCGCGCCGCATGTCGGGATCATTCGGGCGCCCTGGCGCGCGTGCTGGGAGGGAACGACCCGCGTCAAATAACACGATGTGGGCCACTCTCGCGCGTCGGCCGCGCGCGCATGTTGAACTCCCTCCAAAACCTTCATCGCCGACGCGGGGACGCCGTCATCATCGTCGGCGTGATCAGCATCGGCGCCGTCACTGGCCGTGCCGTCGCCGCTGTCATCGTCACCAACACCGCTATTATCATCATCGTGTCTACCGTTGTCGACGTTGCCATGGTACCGCGCCTGCCCAAGTCGACGACTCGCAGTGGAGCGCCTGTTGGGATGTGCCCAGCGGTCAACGCCACCGCGGCCGCGTCGGCCGCGCCAAACTAGTTGGCCGCTGCGCGCGCGAGCATTCGCGGGCCAGTGCGGCCGCAGAGATGCACCAGCCAACACCATGCACTCATCGCAATCGCCGCCGCATGGGTTTTGCAAACCAAGCTGCGGGCGGGAATGCGGGATGCTTACGCGAGCAGTGGAGCTGCCAACTTCAAGTTCGGCAAGGCCAGCTGCACCCCGTAGAATGCACCACGTTCGTTGCTGCACACAGGTTGTTCCACTTAGCGTGCCCAGCGTAAATTGCATCGGTCGGCGCTGACAGGGTCGGCGCGGTGGTCGTGGGAATGGTCGTTGTGGCGGGGGCCGTGGTGGTCGTAGCATCTCTCTCTCTCTGTTTCGCTCTCTTTTTTTTGTTATCTCTCTCTCTCTCTCTCGTTCGCGCTCTCTCTCTCTCTTGTTCGTTGGGTGTGTCCTGTGTTTATGTCTTGTTGCGTTGTTGCGTCCTCCTCTCTCTCTCTCTGTCTCTGGCTTTTTCCCCTAATCATCATGTGGTGTTGGGGCCTCGCTTTGAAGAAACAGCGCCTCACGTCACGTCGAACCTCCTCCTCCTCACCCCTTTTCTAATTCATGCCGTTGCCCTCTGCATGTCTCCGCCGCCGTCCTTATCATCAGCATCGTCATCACCAGCAACAGCATCATCCTCACCATCGTCATCGTCATCATCATCATGTTCATCATCATGTTTGGTACCATTCCCATCATCATCGCAATCATCAACATCATTATCATCATCATCGGCATCAGCTTCATCATCTGCGTCCGCGCTTCGTGGCCCCATAGGAAGGCCGACCTAAGGCACCCGTGTCGGTGTCCACATGCGTTTCCCCTACACAACACAGCATTTCGTGGACCAGTCAGGAGTTCCACCGAAGGCCGCGGTGGCGGTGCCCACATGCGTTTCGTGGCCCCACAGGGAGGTCCACCTAAGGCCCCAGCGAAGGTGTCCACAGGCGTTTGCCCACCCAGCACAGCGGTTCGTGGCCCCATGGGGAGCTCCACCCAAGGCCCGGGTGGCTTGTCCACATGCGCCGCCCCCGCCAGGCACAAGGCTGCGTGGCCCCATCGGGAGGTCCACCGACGGCCCCCGTGGCGTGTCCGCATGCGCCCCCCCCCGACCCAGCACAACGGTTCGTGGCCCCAGAAGGAGGCTCCACCGAAGGGTTCAGTGGCGGTGTCCTCATGCGTCTCCCCCACCCAGCACGGCGCTTCGTAGCCCCATAAGGAGGTCCACCCAGGGCCCCAGTGTCGACGTCCACAGGCGTGTACCCTACCCAGTGTGGCGCTTCGTGGCCCCATTGGCGGTTCCACCGAAGGCCCCAGTGGCGGTGTCCACATTCGTTTCCACCACCCAGCACGGCGCTTCGTGGCCCCATCGGGAGGTCCACCTACAACCCCAGCGGCGGTGTTTACATGCGTCTCGTGGCCCCACAGGGAGGTCCACCTGAGGCCCCAGCGAAGGTGTCCACAGGCGTCCCCCCCCACCCAGCGCAACGGTTCGTGGCCCCATAGGGAGGTCCACCCAAGGCCCCAATGGTTGTGTCCACATGCGCCTCCCCCACCCAGTACAGCGCTTCATGGCCCCATAGGGAGCTCCACCGACGGCCCAAGTGGCTGCACTCGCATGCGTCGCCCACACGCGACACAGCGTTTCGTAGCCCCACAAGGAGCTCCACCGAGCGCCCCAATGGACCCGTTCACACGCGTCTCCCCCACCCAACACAGCACTTCGTGGCCCCAGAAGGGGGCTCCACCGAAGGCTGCAGTGGCGGTGTCCACATGCGTCTCCCCCTCCCAGTACAGCGCTTCGTGGTCCCATAGAGAGCTCCACTGGAGGCCCCAGTAGCAAAGTCCCCTTACGTTTCCCCCAACTAGTACCGTTTCGTGGCCCTACAGGGGTTTCCACCGAAGGCTCCAATGGAACCGTTCACATGCGTCTTCTCCGCCCAGTACAACGTTTCGTAGCCCCATAGGAAGCGCCACCGAGGGTTCCGATGGACCCTTTCACATGCGTCCCCCGCCCCCACGCAGTACAGCGTTTCGTGGCCCATGGGGAGCTCCACCGAAGGCCCCAGTGGCGAAGTTCGCACGCATCTCCTCCGCCCAGTACAGCGTTTCGTGGCCCATAGGGTGCTCCGCCGAGGGCGATACCCAGACTGCGGCATTCATAACTGCATATGGTTGGGTCCTTCGCCAGATTTGTTTGTTCTGTCTCTCTCCCTCTCTCTCTCTCTCTCTCTTCCTCCTCTCAATGCCATCCTTCAGTGATTCAAACGTTGTACAGTTGCATACTCATGTATCTTGTGTGTAAAGAGAGAGAGAGAGAGAGAGAGAGAGAGAAAACAACAGAGAGAGAGAGAGAGGCATGTCTCTCTCTGTTTCGCCCCCCCCCCCCCTCGCTCTCGCTCCCTGTATTGGCATCTCTCTCTCTCTCTCTCTTTCTCTCTCTCTCTCTCTCTCTCCCGGTCTCTCTTTCTCTCTCTGTCCCGCTGTCCCGCGTTGTCAGCATGTATACGCGCACGCATCTTTTCGACACGGGCAACTTCATAGACAAACGTAAGCTGCATCTTCTGTGGACGTGTCACGTCAACCACCCTTATGCTGACATGTGTATTTGCATGTATGCATGCATGCCTGCGTGCACGTACGTACGTATGTAAGTAAGTAAGTAAGTAAGTAAGTATGTATGTATATATGTATGTATGTATGTATGTATGTATGTATGTATGTATGTTTGCCGAGTTGATTCTATAGCGTGCCGAACTTGCTTGTGATAGCTCGTCCTGCTGTTTCCTTACCATGATAATGTTATGGCAAGTTGTTACAGGTGTGGATTTCGCACTACGGTGCTGGCGTTCTCGCTCCCGCCCTCTTGACGTGCTCAATACTTTGTCACCCCCGCCTTTTACAGCCCAGCTCGAGCGCCAAGGAGGAGGCAGAGGTGGGCGAAGACGAGGAATAGGAGGAAGATGTCAGGAGCCGAACGATGAACCGACGTGGATGCGAGTCAGGAGGGGGGATTGAAGGGACCTGTTACCCGACACACCCACAGGAGGTTGTTGGCCATTGACGCCGCGTACGCGGAGGGCGATGCCGTGGAGTACTATGGCGCGACCCAGGGCAGATGGGTCCCCGCCAAGGTGTTGAAGGCCGCGTCTTGGCAATGAGCAGCGTGAGGCAGCAGCGCCAGGTAGTCGCATATGATTGTTCAGGGTTTCCTGTCAGCGTGGCAAGTGGCTTGGCGGCCTGAGGGGACGGGTGGAGGGCAAGCAGCACAGGCAGCAGCCAGAGCACGAGAGACTGGAGGCGCAGCCATTTACCCCGCTGGCCAGATCCCCGAGAAAGCCATACGTGAAGCAGGTCTGCCCTCAGAGCCAGGCATCGTGGAAAAAGGTAGCCACGGGCGTCGCTGCCCCTATCTGGGCCCGAGGACCTTCACGGACCTCTCCGTCTCGAACAGCACCGCGCAACAGTAAGGCTGCGAGATAAGCTGCCGATGTGTCACGGACAACGCTTGGGTCTGTGCACAGACAGCCTCCTTGAGGAAGCCCAAACCTGCTTCAACGGGCCCCCGTCCGTCCGCACGGTGTCGACACGCCCGCACCGCCACCAGCAGCACCCCCTGGGGCGGGTTGAGATTAGCCTGGGTGGCTGTGCGCAGCCCCAAGCCTCGCCGCGTCACGGCGTCGAGTCTCGGGACGTTCGGAGGCAACGTTGGTAGAGCAAGCACAGAGGATGATATACCATACCGCTTAGAGCTTGAAGCGTAACGGCAGCACCGACTTAGCAGAACCAAGTCCGAGCAGCAGGATGTCTTCCGAATTCGTTTCAACCTTCACCTTCCTTAGAGTTACTTGGCCGTGCTCCACTATTTCGCACACATCGGGGACGTGAGTCATACTTTTGCCCCCTTCGCCCTTTCCTTGCCCTCGATGGCGGATCCCGCGCTCACCGCGACTGCTAAGCGTTGCCCCTGCGATGTTGAAGAAACTTGCCTCTTCCACCTTCCTCCCTCCAACTGCGTCACCCTCCTCTGCTCATCCATGAAGTCGTTTCTCTTCACCCTCCTTCTACCGAATCCCTCCTGCCATTCTTCCTACAGTCAGGTGAATGTGGTTGGTAGTGTGTTTTGATTGCTGATCGCATTTGAGCCATCGGAAGCGCACACGCACGCACGCGCACACGCACACGCGCGCACGCTCTGACGCACGCGCGCGCGAAGGATCGGGCTCGATCTCTGGGTCGGGCCCGGGCTCGGGCTCGGGCTTGGTCGCAAGCTCGCGCTCGGGCTCGGGTTCGCGCTCGCGTTCGGGTTGTAGTGATCCTGCGGGTTGTCCCGAGGCTGTCCTGTGGGTTGTCCCGCGGTTGCCCCGCGGATGTCCCGTGGCCTGTTCTGTGGTTGTCTTTTGAAGTGTCCTCTGGGTTGTCCCGCGTGTAGCCAATGGTTCCACACGCCTGTACACAGGCGATTGATTTTGTGTATTAGCGAACGCATGCGCACGCATAAACTCGCGTTGAATAGCATGTACGCGTGCATGCATGTTGGTACCCGCGAGGCGATTAACAAAACATCTACCTGGGACGTGTTTACAATACCTGCTCAATTGGTTATGACGTTGACGCACGCTGTTTTTGATGTTGACGTAGTCCCGCGCGGGGCCGGAAGTGTGAAAAGTCACGCGACTCGTCAAAACTTGCGATAGCACTCGCACGTTACCCGCGACAGTACAATAAGGCTGGGGATCGTACTCGTGTTTCTCATGTTCATCAAAAAGCTGTTTGTCTTGAGGAATGCGACGAGTAATTTGTCTACCATATCATTCCACATGGGTGATGCACGAGCGATGTTACAACTATCACCAAGTACCATCGGAGTGGCCTGCGCCCCAGCCACGAACCCACCTACAGTCCGTCAAACATCCCATCAGCAAAATATGCACCTGATTGCCCAGTCAAGTGAATGTTGCTGGCAGTGTTTTTTGCTGATCGCATTGTAGCACATCGGAAGCGCTTGCGCACGAACGCGCGCACGCACACGGGCGCACGCGCGCGCTCAGGATCGGGCTCGATCTCGGGGTCGGGCCTGGGCTCGGGCTCGGGCTCGGGCTTGGTCGCAAGCTCGCGCTCGAGCTCGGGCTCGTGCTCGGGCTCGGGTTGTAGTGGTCCTGCGGGTTGTCAGGTGGCTGTCCCGCTGTTGCCCCACGAGTGTCCCGTTGGTTGTGCCCTCAATGTGCCCTTTCGTGCCCTCAACGTCTAGAAGGTCTCCTCGTGAATCCACCTGCTTTTTTTCTTCCTCCTCCTTTTCTTCCTCTTCCCAGAAGCCCCAGAAAACCGAGCACGAGTTTCTTCAAATTTGCAGAGCCGCCAAAAGCATTCGACAGTCCACCAGAAACGTCCCTTTCCCATCTCCTGCTCATCGTCCCCCTGTCACCCGGCAAGGTGAACCCGGAAGGGACCTTCGACCTGGATTGCAAGCCGAACGCCTCGGCCTCGAGAGAGGGTGAGACGGAAGAGGAGGAAGTACACATGTTTCTTTCGAACACCCAGCTTGTTGGTATCATTCTTGTGGCAATCGCGCTGATAATTGCCAGCCTCGAAATGCTACGGTGGTGCGGGTGAGCGCCTGTTTGGTGTGCAATTGATTGCTGCGGTAGTTCAGTGGAGCTTCTTTTTGTTTTCCTCCTGGCAGAAGGCGACCCTTCGTCGTCGCCTTCCTCGTCCTCGTCGTCCTGATTGTCGCCGCCGTCGTCCTGGTCGTCGGGAGTATCGTCGTCGTAGGCGATGAACTATCGTCGTCGCTATCGTCCTGATCGTCGTCATCGTTCTCCTCAGCGTCACGGCGTCGTCAACGTCGCCGTCCTCGTCGCCTATCGTAATTGTCATGGACCATGATCATTGTCCTGATCTTTGTCCTCGTATTAGCCGTCCTCGGTGCCGCCGTCGCCGCCGTCGCTGCCGGCGTCGGCGTCGGCGTCTGCGTCGTCCTCGTCGTCGAGCTTCGCAGTCGTCGCCGACGCCGTCGCCATCGTCGACGTCCTCGTTTTCGCTTGTCGTCGCCCTCCGAGGCATGAGGGACGAATCGCCCCTGCCATGGGACAACGCCTCGTTGGCCTTCTTGGGGCCCTCGCGGGAGGGCTCTTGGGGCGTCCTGGAGGCCCTGGGCCGTCGAGAGGCCGTCTTGGGCATCGTTGGGCCTTCCTGGGCCGAGGACGAGGGTGAGAGGAGGAACACATCAACAAAGATGACCAGGGTGAGAGGAGGCGGAGGATGGAATGAGGTCGAGCAGGATGACAAGGACAGGGAGGAAGTGGCGGAGGAAGAGGAGATGACCCGAGGAGGTGGACGATGATGACGATGATGTTGCTCTCTATGAAGTTGCTGATGATGGTTATGATACGTTGTTTGATGAAGGTGGTGATGGTGGTGATCGGATGGTGGCGACGACGGCGACGACGGCGACGAGAGATGTTGCAGTGCCGGGTACCTCCCTCTGGCCGTGGCACGAGGTCGCGCCTGGCAGGATCCGCCCTGTCGCCGGCACCTCCACGTCGTCTATAGGCGCACCCTTCGTTCGTCGTCGTCGTCATCGTCGTCGCCGTCGCCGCCGTCGTCGTCGTCGTCGTCGTCGTCGTCTTCGTCGTCATCGTCCTCGTCGTCGCCGCCGCCGTCGTCGTCGTCGTCGTCGTCGTCGTCGTCGTCGTCGTCGGGGGTGAGGGAGTGTGTGGGGGAGGAGGGGCGGCGGAGGAGACGGGGGGTAGGGATGAGCATGATGATGATCAGGAAGGAAGAGGGATATGGACGGAGAGGGGCGAGGAGGAAGAGGAGTGGATGATGACGATGAGGAGTAGAAGGAGGAGGGGGAGGACGAGGATACTGTTGGAATGAGGAGGAGAAGGAGGAGAAACAAGGAATAAGTCAGATGGGGAACAGTTCAGGGGTATGCAGATGAAGATGGGGATGAAAACCAGTGGCAGGACGATGATATTGATGATGATGATGATGATGAGTATGATGGTGATGCTGATGTTGATGGTGAGGATGATGCTGATGCTGATGGTGATACTGATGCTCCTGCTGATGATGACGATGACGATGGCGATGACGATGATGATGAGGATGACGATGAGGATGAGGATGAGGATGAGGATGAGGATGATGATGACGATGCTGATGCTGATGCTGATGCTGATGATGATGATGATGATGATGATCATGATCATGATCATGATCATGATCATGATCATGATGATGATGATGGTGATGATGATGATGATGATGATGATGATGATGATGATGATGATGATGATGATGATGATGATGATGATGATGATGATGATGATGATGATGATGATGATGATGATGATGATGATGATGATGCGGAGGAGGAGGAGGAGGAGGAGGAGGAGGAGGAGGAGGAGGAGGAGGAGGGAGGAGGAGAAGGAGAAGGAAAAGGACAACGAGAAGGAGAAGGAGAAGGAGGAAGAAGTGGTTGTGGACGGGGAGGCAGCGTTGGAGGAGGGGATGAGGAGGAGGGGGTGGGGAGGGAAAAGAGACCAAGATGAGCCAGAGGAGCAGGATGAGGAGGGGGAGGTGGAGGAGGAGGAGGAGGAGGAGGAGGAGGAGGAGGAGCAGCAGCAGCAGCAGCAGTTGCAGCAGCAGCAGCAGCAGCAGCAGCAGCAGCAGCAGCAGGGAGGAGGAGAGGGGAGGAGGAGAGGGGACGAGGAGGTGGAAAGCCGGCCTTACAGTCGGGACGCTGAAATCAGGAGCAGTCTGGGTTCGGAAGGGGCTGGATGTTCCTGGTGTTTTCTCATGACTGAGCCTCTGGCCCTCCCCGTGCACGCAGGCGCTTTTTGGGGGGCCCAGAAGGGTTCTCGTTCCTGGCTCCTCGTGCCTCACTGCGGCAGTGCCGGAGGAGGGGCCCCCAGAGGGCGAGAGGGGCCGGCCGTCGCGAGACGCTTCTCCGCGGCTCCTGGAGGTCTCGGGCCTCTGCTCCTGCCCCCCCGGACACCGGCACCAGTTCCCCCCCCCCCCTTGGGCATCATGGATGGGGTCGGAGCAGGTGGCGTCTTCGTCTTCGTCCTGCTGCCAGGCCTCCCCGAGGGGGTCATAATGGGTGGCGTCGGAGGCTCGCGCTGCGTCGCCGATGCACGGCCGATGCGGCTCGATGCGGAGCCCGCTTCTCTCCACGCCGGCGATGCGTCGGCGATGCGTCGGCGATGCTGCGCGATCCTCCGATCCCATCTGCTTCGACCCCGTCTATGAGGCCTCTGAGCACTCTGCTCCTGCCCCCCGGACACCAGCACCAATTCCTGCCCCCCTCGAGGGGAACATACCGTGACATACAGTCAACGCGCCTGGAAAGGACGCGCGCCTTCGTCCAGGGTGCCCCTGTGTCCTTGCCTCTGCGGCCCGTCCTTGGCCGTTTGCACTGGTCGCCCGCCGCCCAACAAAATCCCAAGTTTGGTCTCCAAGGGTCTTGCGACCTTACCACCCGTCCTTAATCGACGTCTTGATTGTAAACAGAAGACCCCGCAGGTCCGCGCGGATTCCTCGCATCGGCGCCGGGCCCCCCCCCCCTGGTGGCGCCTCCCGCTCCGCCCCGGGCGCGCTCCGCGCGCCAGAGAGGGGGCGGGGGTCCAGCGCCGATTCGAGAAGTCCGTGCGGATATCCGCGTTTTTATGTTGATGCCATTGTTCGTCCCGCTGCCTCTGGCGAGGAGGTCCGCGGTGCCTTCGTGATCAGGAGGGGAAAAAACACAGACACACTTAATCGTCGACTCCCAGGAAAATATGGGAAAATATGGGAAGTGGGGGAAAAAGACGAAAACCCAGAAAATATATGATAATGTGGGGCATCCTGGGATTTGTGTGTATTTCTTTGTGTGTCGCTGGGTCCCTTCACATAAGCCAAGGATAGAAGCTGCATCGGGCAGGACGCCGAAGGACAGCGGCACCGCTGCCACGAAGAACCTCCACTGCCTTATCCAGGCCGCCCAAAAGCCAGGCCAGAGACGAAGGCCAGAGGATCGTGCCGCCTCGCCGATGCATCGGCGATGCGGCGCGACCCCGAGCCCGATTTTTTTCCCGTACTCGCCGGTCGTTGAAAGTAGGTTTTTTTGCTGGATTCCCAAATCCCAATCTACTTTAGGCGCCTTCTTACTTCAAGGATCGACTGGTTTCCTTCTTCCCTCCTCTAACGGCTTCCTACTTCATGTTTCAACCCACTTCTTCGGACTGGCGTGTTCCGACGTCGTGGATGGATAGTCGGTTAGACCCTCTAGCACCGCTTGCTCCAGCCCCATCCGGGCTGCCTCTGATCTGCCCCGTCTGCCCCGGCCCCACCTGGGCTATCTCTGTCCTTGCGGTGATGATGGTGGTGCCGACTTTTCGGGTAGCCTGGCAGGAACGCGGAACGCGGGAGTCGTTTCAGAGCGTCTTGGAACGGTCTGGAAGAGTACCGGAGCGCCCTGGATAGGCCGCGTCGCCCGATACAGCCTCCAGACACCCAGAAGTCTTTGCCCCATGTTTTGACGGCGCCTACGAGGAGGTTGCGCGATCGGGGCGGCCTTTGAAGACGGTGAGGTTCGTCTTAGAAGGCAAGGGCCCTCTTTGAAGCGGGGGGCTTCCACGAGGCCCCCCTGCTCTGCCCTGCCGCCTTCTCAGAAGCCCCCCCCCTCGCGCCACCTCCTTGCAGGCGCCGCCAGGTGCTGTCTTCGTCCTGCCGTCGTCTTACATTGTCCTTCGTCCTGCTGCTAGGCCTCCCCGATGGGGGTCATAAGGGATGGGGTTGGAGGCTCGCGCCGCATT